ACTCAAAGGTCAGATAATAAACTACATCCAGGACTTCCTAAACAATCGTAAAATAACCGTGGGTATAGACCAAACTCTATCGGACCAATGTCCCCTAGAAAATGTCACTCCACAGGGCAGTATCCTCAGCCCCACCCTCTTCAATATAATGATAAACGATCTATTCGAGGGCCTATCCCCTAAAGTAAACACATCAAAATTCGCGGATGATGGAGCCATCTCGATCCGCACTAAAAGCATGAAAATGGTCCAAAATTTACTCCAAAAATCTCTAAATGAAATACAACAATGGGCTGACAAATGGGGCTTCTCCCTTAACTCAGAAAAAAACAACAGGAATAGTATTCAAACATAAAAACATGAAACCCGCCTCCCCAATCCTCCAGCTAAACAATCAAACAATCAAATTTCAAAAACAAACCAAATTCTTAGGACTTATTTTCGATGAACATCTCACCTGGGATGCTCACATCCAAAACCTAACAACTAAACGCAGTAAAGACCTAAACACCCTAAGATGCCTAACTGGCTCTAACTGGGGAGCATCCAAAGATACCCTCCTCTCTATCTACATATCACTAATTAGATCAAAACTAGACTACGGCTGCGCCATATACAACACCCTAAACAACTCTCTATCTAAAAAACTTGACTCAATACAATATCAGACTCTCAAACTAATTACACGCACCCAACATGGCACCTCCTACACCTCACTTCAGGCCTTAACAGGAGAAATGCCACTAAGTCTACGCAGGGAACGGCTAAGCTTAAATTTCTGGGCCGCGTCCCAATCAAACCCTCTCATCCAAAACTTAATAAACCAAAACATCAGCCCCAAAAACCAAGCTCTAGCTCGTAAACACCCCTTACTTACCCCAATATCCCAAAGAATAACAAACTACCTAAATGAACATCAAATTAAAAATCTTAAACAAAACTGCAAACAATCAAATATCTTCACCCCTAAACTTAAAATACCCAAAATAGACACAACACTAGCTGGCCAAAAAAATAAACAAACCGACCCAAACATACGTTTTCAAGCTAAAATATCAATTAGAAATATATTTTTTTAAGAATTCCCAGAGGAGAAGATGTTGAAGTTAAGCTTGTTTTATTTGAAAGACAAATGCGACACAAAAAGTATATCTCAAAACGTATTCTTGACTCAAAAAATATCTTCTCCTCTGTAACGGGTGGACCGTTTGAGGCTGAAATCTCGCATGTTTGTTGCTTTCTAGTGACGGCATCATAGTGTGTTCAAATCATTGTAATGGTTTTATTTGTTTCGTTAGCTTTTCAGATTATAGGAAATACAACTGTCATTGAAGTATACAACAACCACGTCAAAGATGAGGTTATATAAAGGTTATGACAAATTATGTTTTTTGTTTGTTTTGTTTGTTGTTTAACGCCACATTCAGCACTATTGCAGCTTTATGACGGCGGTCTGTAAATAATCGAGTCTGGACCAGACAATCCAGTGATTGATATCGTGCGCATCGATCCACGCTATTGAGATACAATGACATGCACCAACCAAGTCAGTGAGCCTGACCACCCGATCCCGTTAGTCGCCTCTTACGACAAGCATAATCGCTTTTTATAGCAAGTATGGTTTGCTGAGGACCTATTCTACCCCGGATCTTCACGGGTCGACAAATTATGTATCATGTTTGATATTTCACTTCACAGTCATGTACGATTTTACAAACAAGACTGTTTCCCTTTTCAAAGTATATGTGGCGGAAAATGTGAATAATGAAATGATAGATGGTTGTCACCATCAAAGTTTGAAGTGTTATTGAGTCATCAGCATTTTGGTTAAAATGATTTTTTTTACAAATTTCAAAAATGTTGCGAAGTCAAATGTAATTCATGACAACGCATGACATATCCTGAGATTCATATGGTCAAATGTCAAGGTCATTAGATAAGAGATGTGATTACACTTTCTCATGAAATAGGAATGTTTTGTCACCAAAATATGTCTATAACCTCTGGGATGTGAACCTACCATGACAGGGTTCAATCAAGATTACTCAATGTAGTCACCAATCAGGTAATGGTGGCACAGTTACATGTCATTTGACCCGGCAAGGATATCAAACATTTAAACTTCTGTTGTCTGGGCTTTTCGAACGCAAACGGTACGGACCTGAAAGGCATATTCGGGACATGACGATGGTGAGTCTGTTTCTGGTTTTCCGATTTAGAGTGACAAAAAACTACCCATAAGACTGTATGGCAACATGGATGACTTCAGCTTTCCAACAGTCTACTTTATCTGGAGCAATATTCCAACAATTCCAACCTTAGGTGTCTATATTTCACAATCTCTGGGTACAATCGAGCATGTTCTTCCTACCAAGATTCTCAAAACCCTCATATAATTTTTACAAGTTGCTTGATCATAGTTACAACATTCAAGGCATTAGTAAAGCTGTCCAGTTTTCGAGGTAGACATCTGGATACATTTCCAAATTGGATGCATCAGTGACAAAAATGATGTCCGATTGAATTCGCTATTTCGACTTGTACCGTATGGTCACGTATTCTTTAAGTCAACAGTTGACTGGCCTTCTCATGAATTTGTGCCAGGTGCCACCATTGAACAGTTAGTATCATCACTATGTGATAGTGATTATTAAACACATGCTTATGATGTAGTCTGAATCCTACAATAGACTATGCTTTTAGCAGAGAGGTGAGGTGGAATGGGGTTAAACGTCACGTCCAAGATTATTGCATTTATATACGAGGGGTGTTCATTAAAGATTTCCCCTAAACCACTTAGGGTTATCATATTTGGTTGAAATTTCACATGTGTAATGATACATGTATCTATGGGTTATGTCTGCATTTGCAGAAACGAACTATTAATCTTACCACTTTTACAGGTGTTGTGATCGAGTAGGGTGTGACAATGGAGCCAGTAGAATACCGAGCAGTGATTAAGTTTTTATATTTGAAAGGTCGCACACCAAAAGAAACTTTCGATGAAATGAAAGCAACATATGGGGAAGATGCCCCATCATATGACGTTGTTAAACACTGGCATCGCGAGTGTGGTCGGACATCTGTGGAAACAGCTGCCATTCCTGGTCGCCCCAATTCAGCCATTGATGAGGACACTATCCATCAAGTGGAGACCGCCATTTTGGCAGACCGACGTATAACTGTTCGCCAGTTAGCACAAGATGTCAAGATCTGTGTAGGGTTTGTGAAAAAAAATAATCCATGACAATTTGAACATGCATAAGGTGTCTGCACGATGGATTCCCACGTTGCTCACACCTTTCCAAAAGCAGGAACGAGTCAATTGCTCAAAGGATCTTTTGGACATGTGCCAAAAAAAAACCCAGGCAAAATTTTTGGACAGACTTTCCAACCATGAAGTCATTTTTGAAGGGAAAACGTTTCACAGATGATGAAACACTGATTTCTGAAGTCAAGTCCTGGTTTGAGACGCAAAATGAGGGTTTTTACAAGCGAGGTCTCCATAGTTGCATAAAACGATGGGAGAAGTGTGTAACCCTTGGTTGTTCCTATCGGAAGTGGGTCAGGGGAAATCTTTAACACCCCTCGTAGCAACGTCCATGAACGTGTGTGTGTGGCTGCTTGTACAACCCGGACTGATGCCGATTTATAGTGCTAACTCACTGAGATACCATGCCGCAGTTGAACATGAATACCCAACTCAGACACAGTATACTGACTCCGGGCCGAGCAGTTGTTTTTTTCCCCCTTAATTCCGAGCTCCAGACAGGGTAACAACAAGTACCATCTTTAAACGTCTTTTGGTATGACGCGGCCGCGATCGAACCCAGGACCATCCGCTCTCCGGGCGGACGCTCTACCACTAGACCATGGAGGCGGTCTTTTAGCAGAGAAGTGTCATGATCATTGAAATAGTTTTTCACTTTTTATTTTATTGGTCCCGGTAGTATGGTTTTTAACTAAGTTGGTTGGTTGGTTGGTTTGTTGTTTAACGCCGCACTCAGCAATATTCCAGCTATATGACGGCGGTCTGTAAATAATCGAGTCTGGACCAGACAATCCATTGATTAATATCATGATCATCGATCCACGCCATTTGGATCGATGACATGCATCAATCCAAGTCAGCGAGCCTGACCACCCGATCCCGTTAGTCGCCTTTAAGGGCAGGCATGGGTTGCTGAAGACCTATTCTACCCCGGAATCTTCACGGGTCATGCATCAACCAAGTCAGCGAGCCTGACCACCCGATCCCGTTAGTCGCCTCTTACTTGGTTGGTTGGTTGGTTGGTTTGTTGTTTAACGCCGCACTCAGCAATATTCCAGCTATATGACGGCGGTCTGTAAATAATCGAGTCTGGACCAGACAATCCATTGATTAATATCATGATCATCGATCCACGCCATTTGGATCGATGACATGCATCAATCCAAGTCAGCGAGCCTGACCACCCGATCCCGTTAGTCGCCTTTAAGGGCAGGCATGGGTTGCTGAAGACCTATTCTACCCCGGAATCTTCACGGGTCATGCATCAACCAAGTCAGCGAGCCTGACCACCCGATCCCGTTAGTCGCCTCTTACTTGGTTGGTTGGTTAGTTGGTTTGTTGTTTAACGCCGCACTCAGCAATATTCCAGCTATATGACGGCGGTCTGTAAATAATCGAGTCTGGACCAGACAATCCAGTGATTGATATCATGAGCATCGATCCACGCAATTGGGATCGATGACATGTATCAACCAAGTCAGCGAGCCTGACCACCCGATCCCGTTAGTCGCCTTTTACGACAAGCATAGTCACCTTTTACGGCAAGCATGGGTTAATGAAGACCTATTCTATCCCGGAATCTTCACGTGGCTAGACTCCTCTTACGACAAGCGTAGTCGCCTTTTACGGCAAGCATGGGTTGCTGAAGACCTATTCTATCCCGGATCGTCACGGGTCAGAAACAGATGTAAAACAGAACAGAGACTTGTAATAAAACCGACAAACTCACTTGATACATTCCTCATGGTACTTCTTTTCTCCCTCTACACTTTTAGTCCCCGGTGGGAGATCTTCACCACAGTATCCACATAGTAACATTTCATCGGGAAACCTTGTTGTTTACATTACCTAGAATGAGAAACGGAGAAATCTTAAATAAGTTTACTTTGAAATAATGTGTCACACTGTTGTACATAAAAGAAACACTGCAACTGTAAAATAGTTTAACAAATGATTTTTGTCTCAGTAATAAAAGTGACAAAACCATTCCATATTAATAAGGAATATCTGCCAAAATCAGAGTCAACTGTGTGATTCAGACTATATCATGAGCTTGTTTCAATGAATCACTGTCAAATACTGATGATACCAGGTGGCGGACATCCCCCAACCAAAAGGCGACTATGCTTGTCGTAAAAGGCGACTAAAGGGATCGGGTGGTCAGGCTCGCTGACTTGGTTGATGCATGTCATCGATCCCAATTGCGTGGATCGACGCTCATGATATCAATCACTGGAGTGTCTAGTCCAGACTCGATTATTTACAGACCGCCGTCATATAGCTGGAGTATTGCTGAGTGCGACGTAAAAAAACCAAAACAAACCATCCCCCAACCAGGACCCTTAATCCGCTACGACGTTGTCGACCTGTTCACTAATGTACCCCGGGACGAGGCCACTGATATCTTCAGAACCAGCATTAAGAAGATCCACCCGCTGACAGCATCATCCGACACTCCTGCATCAGCTCAACATACTGCACTTACTTAGTACTCCAACTTTTAAATGCCTATCAAAGAAGATAATAAAAATATATTTTGAAATTTAAAATAAACACCTTTTAATACCCATTCATGAAGACATGTTATCGACTTTAAGGTCGTGATTCAGAAGTTAATGTTTGTGTACAGGGCCTGATGATGTACGCCTCTTCGTGATGGGGCTAGATAGGGAGGAAAGATTCCCCTGAAGTAAAAGTAAATCTCGCAATTAAGGCTAACCCTCCACAAGCTGGTCTACTACTGGGTAACAGAACGCCAAGAATATAGCCATCTTTCAACTAAGTAGCCCAGTCAGCCTCCCTACGGTATACAAACCAGCCAAATTGGAGATGGGACTTGCCAAATTAAATGGCAAATTACACAAGCAACATTGGGACAAAGCCATGCCAATGTATGTATGTTTTCGCGCCCACATCCGGCTACTGAAGATGTATATGCGCCTTGAGTGTGGAGAGCTAACTGCCAACACTCGCCAGGCGCCTTTCCATGAACCCCTACCTCCAACAGTTAGATGACCCGAAATTGCAAATGGACGTTCGCATTGTTCTCTCGAAAGTACCTGATGCAGTGACCCGTGAAGATCCGGGGTAGAACAGGTCTTCAGCAACCCATGCTTGCCCTCAAAGGCGACTATGCTTGTCGTAAAAGGCGACTATGCTTGTCGTAAAAGGCGACTAACGGGATCGGGTGATCAGGCTCGCTGACTTGGTTGTTGCATGTCATCGATCCCTATTGCATGGATCGATGTTCATGATGTATATCACTGGAGTGTCTAGTCCAGACTTGATTATTTACAGACCGCCGTCATTTAGCTGGAATATTGCTGAGTGCGGCGTAAAACAACAAACCAAACCAAACCAAAACCTGATGCAGTTTTCACTGATAGCCCACTCATAGGTTCACCAAATGAAATGCCTGTTGTTGGCCTCGAAGATTTTGAGTTTTCCACCTCCTCCGACCCCTCGTCAATGATCCCTTGAATATTTTGTTAATGTCATTTTATAATTAAATTTGTGATTTACCGATTGAGATCGGAATCCAATAAAAGAAATTAATCAAATCATTTCCACAGAATCAACTCATTTCCACAGAATCAACTTGATAGATAATAATGACATTATTTCAGTCACTCTCAATGCGGACTGTTCTTTGCATGACATTAACTGTTGCGTCTCACTCACTCACCATTACTTCAATGTCCATGCTTGCCGTTAAAAGTGAGTACGCTTGTCGTAAGGGGCGACTAACGGGATCGGGTGGTCTGGCTCGCTGACTTGGTTGAAGCATGTCATCGATCCCAATTGCGTGGATCGACGCTCATGATATCAATCACTGGAGTGTATTGTCCAGACTCGATTATTTACAGACCGCCGTCATATAGCTGGAATATTGCGGCGTAAAACAACAAACCAGCCAACCAACAAACCAACATCTGTTTCGGCTTTCTGTTCAGTTGCACTTCCAAGTGACCTTTAATGTGTATCCCTATTTTCTATTAATTCTCTTGTGGATACAGCGTGTCCTACAGATCTCGTGTCATCATCATACTGCGTTTCCAATGACATGATTTACATGGGAAAAAAGGAGCCAGAAAGAGATGTTGGCGTTGCAGAGACCAACTGCTGGTTAAGAAAATGATCCTTGAAGAAGCTAAAACTAACCACCGTTACCTCTTAATGTGTTGGATAGACTACAGAAAAGCTTATGATTCTGTACCTCACGAATGGATTTTGAAGTCACTGGAATGAATTGACCTCCCCGATCGACTACTTGCTTTAGGTCTTCAGCAACCCATGCTTGCCGTTAAAGGCGAGTATGCTTGTCGTACGAGGCGACTAACGTGATCGGGTGGTCTGGCTCGCTGACTTGGTTGAAGCATGTCATCGATCCCAATTGCGTGGATCGACGCTCATGATATCAATCACTGGAGTGTATTGTCCAGACTCGATTATTTACAGACCGCCGTCATATAGCTGGAATATTGCGGCGTAAAACAACAAACCAGCCAACCAACCAACCAACATCTGTTTCGGCTTTCTGTTCAGTTGCACTTCCAAGTGACCTTTAATGTGTATCCCTATTTTCTATTAATTCTCTTGTGGATACAGCGTGTCCTACAGATCTCTTCTCATCATCATACTGCGTTTCCAATGACATGATTTACATAGAAAAAAGGAGCCAGAAAGAGATGTTGGGGTTGCAAAGACCAACTGCTGGTTAAGAAAATGATCCTTGAAGAAGCTAAAACTAACCACCGTTACCTCTTAATGTGTTGGATAGACTACAGAAAAGCTTATGATTCTGTACCTCACGAATGGATTTTGAAGTCACTGGAATGAATTGACCTCCCCGATCGACTACTTGTTTTAGGGCTTCAGTAACCCATGCTTGCCGTTAAAGGCGACTATGCTTGTCGTAAGAGGCGACTAACGGGATCGGGTGGTCAGGCTCGCTGACTTTGTTGATGCATGTCATCGTATCCCAATTGCGTGGATCGATGCTCATGATGTCAATCATTCGATTGTCTGGTCCAGACGCGATTATTTACAGACCGCGTTCATACAGCTGAACTATTGCTGTGTGCGGCGACATACAACAAACAAACAAACTTGTTTTACTCAAGTCTTCAATGAAGTGCTGTTCAACTCAACTTGAGATGTATTCGCAGGGGCAGGCGGTGACCGTGGAACCCATTTCTATTTGAAGAGGAATATTTCGGGGCGATTTAGTAGTCAGTCGCTCGCGATCGGGGACTTCTAAGTTATTTCCCCGTGGGGACCCGGGGAAGATAAACAAGAATGTGTCCTCAGCACCCCATTGCTGGTCGTAAAAGGCGACTATATATATGTCTCAATGTATAAAACTTGCTTAGAGCCCTATGCCCAGAAGGCGGTGTCTCATGGGCCAATCTGGTGATGCTGACCTCCGAATTCTGTACGTCTCCAATTAATTGTCATGGGCCGAACCAGCCTGACCCTTAATTTGGTAGATGGTTATAGCTTTTCGTGTCAAATTTGCTGGAGTATACCACCCCTTTATCTGCGGTCTTGCAGCTTGGAAATCCGCTGCATCATAAGACTATCCTCGTAGACAACCAACAATTAAAAGTTATACACGGGATCTCATGCAAAAGAGGCAGGACACCCAGGTAGGAAGCAATAAACTTCACGAATTAAACCAACAATCGGTCATACCTACTTGGGTTGTCAGTCAAGACATGACGAGGTCGTTTTATGACGATGTCGTATTGGCCACAGTCGGTTCATACACGAATATCTGCTTAAGACAGATGAGGACGAACCTCCTAAGTGTAAGCCTTGTGATGAAAGGTTCACTGTCAAGCATATATTGCTAGACTGTGTGGACTTGTCAATCGCAAAGGATTCACATTATCAAAGTGTAATCTAATAGATCTCTTTTCCCGTGTCGGCGGGCATCTCATCATAAATTACTTGAAATAATGTGAATAATTAAATGCTTGTTTTTAAAATTTGGTGTGATGCTATTACCTACTGACATTACTTAAGGCTCTGTCCAGGAGGTAAAAGTATCGTAAAAGTATTGCCGCCCTGTGTGACACGTAATCATAATCAATGTAACTATCATTAACCAGTGTTTTTAGGCCAACTCATTGCTGAGTATTTTTTAATATTGGCTAGCATTGTGCACAACCACCAGTGGCTAAAGTGATGCCGTAAATCCTGCTGGGGTATCAAGTAGGAAGCAGAGGTACTATGAGTCCCCATGATCCCCAGCGAGGTGGCCTAGCTTTGGTTACTGGTGGCCTATAGCCCGTGTTTTAAAACTGTATATATAATATTGTAATGCTAAAATAAGTTTCATGAATTGTTTCCAAATATAAACTAGTGTCCAAAAGAAACGATACCAACTTATTTTCAAAATTGTTTTTTACTAAGTGAATTGTCAAGTATGAAAACATGCCAATTCGTATTGCACATCCCAAACACAGCATAGTCGATAAAAAATACCGGGAACACGTGATCACTTCCGGGAAAAAACGTAAATTTCGTGAAAGTGACATTTCCCTCTCTAGCATGTTCTGCACGTGCAGAAAAACTGTATAAAACGGCTGATCAGACACGTTGATATCACAGCAACAAAAAGAACACAAGATCTGCCACGTTTGACAGCCATCGAGAGAGAGAGAGCCGTTGGAATGGTCCAACATGGAGCGTCACACGTCCACGTCGCCAGAAGGTTGGGCTGCGCACGCATCACTATCACCAGGTTGATGCAGCGGTTACTTCAGACAGGTCAGACGTCAGACAGGCCCAGGAGTGGAAGACCACGAGTACCTCCAGTCAACGTCCAGGACTTGAACGATGTCTCCTCGAGGAATGGCAACGCATCACTCCCAACGTCATCAGACGTTTGACGTCATCAGTCCGTAGGCGTGTTTTGGCATGTATTGATGCTCACGGTGGACATACCCGCTACTGACTTGACTTTGAGACGTGTGGTGTGACATTTCCCGTTGTTTCTGTGATCACTGCTCTAACGAAATGTTCATTTTTCGACCCTTCCCATCTTTAAAGGCTTGTCATATTGGTTGTACAGATTTTATTGAAATGAAATTTTTGTACAGATGTTGTGAAAGGATTTCTCAAAAGCATAACACCAATCCTAAACTTCTGCATTGTTTTGTTTTTCTTTTATGTCGTTGCAAACAGGTGGTATCGTTTCTTTTGGACACTAGTTTAGTATGCTCAGATATGTTTTACAACTTGTTTTTAAATAAAACTTTGCATTAATGACGAAATTGTAAATATATTAACTTGGTCTCGTCTCAATGTGGCTGAAATAATGCCGATGCGACGTTAAATTTTAACTCACTCACTCACTAAATTAATATTAATATTATTGTTGTTGTTGTTGAAGAATCTTTACATAATCATAAAGAAAATCGCATCCTGATTTGAATTACCCTTTATCATCAAAGCATGTCCTCAAGTGTAAGTACAGCAGATAGTTGGCGTTTTCGTAGATAGAAAAAGCATTAAAATCCTCTCTGAATTTACCACATACATAATCACAGCTGCGTGAAGTATAGCATTGTTTTATTAAATACGTCAAAATATTTGTAATTGCTTTATTGATGAGTGGGGGTGGAATGAATATCGGTAGCCTGAACACGTGACGTTTGAATTTGTTTGAGGAAACCAGTTTAACACCTACCTTGCAGCATCTGGTCGTGTCGGCGTCAACCAGTAAATTGAAACGTGTGTTCGACTTAGATAAACATATCACAGATAACACATGCAGGTCTAAACACAGCTGACTCACGTCAAAGGATACTTAATGCACCAGTTAGCTCCCCTGTGAGGATTCGGGGTACAATAGTTCTCCAGTAGTGTATTCTTGTCGTAAGATGCACGTTAGTGGGTCAGGTGGTTAGGCTGATTACGTTTTATCCTTCTCCCACGGCGATATCGGGATTCAAAGTGGCAATATATCATATAAACACCCTGCTGTCTTATATAGAGAATGTGGCATGCAGTCTTCGTGTTTTACAGTATTTGACTTTGAATGAAAGCTGTTAAATATGATTGCTTTATTGCCATTGCCACTTCAATTTATATGGCATAGGTCGGTCTCTATGACGACAAGGAATATGATGGGATGTTACCGCAGTCGTCCCTCGTGACATGTTTAGAAAGCGAAATATATGATTTATGCAAAATAAAGTTCATATAACCTCTTAATAAAAGTTGGGTCACTAGTGCCAGACACGTGCGTAGTGTTGTCATTCCTGATTTTGACCATTTCAAGGAAGGTCGATTAATCTCGGTTGACCATTTTTTCTGTCATTGTTTGTCATGCTGCTTTTGATAGAGTACTTGATTTCATTCATTGTTTATGAATGAACTAGCGATGCTGCGCGGAGCGTCTACAGGCTATTGGCATGCAACGCACCTCCATGTTCGATGACCACGTGTTGTGCCACCCCCTAAAAATCCTCATATCGTCAATAGACGTCAATGGTGTATACAGCGTCGAAGTCCGGGTAATCGCTACTAGTCACGTGTCATGTGTTCAGATGAGTCCTGATATACTTTACACTTCCTTGATAAACGTGGTCGTATCTGGCGACGTCGAAATGAACGCTTAACCATTGTCGGCCTCTGTCTCCTCATGACAGATTTGGCGGTGGATTGGTTATGGTGATGTGTGGCATCACTATGGCTGACCGAATCCCACCCTATAAGCGCAATGAAAGGTCACTGGACAGTACCATCGGGATAGCATACTGACACCTTTTATTGTCCCGTTTGCAAGGCGTGTGGGTCGACGTTTTGTCCGCCAGGACGACAACGCCCGTGCCTCACAATGCACGAATCGTCAATACTCACCTCCAGCAGCACAACATCAATAGAATTCCATGTAAAGCAATGAGCCCTGACCATTCCCCAATTGACCACGTCTGGGACATGATAGGGAGACGTGTGCGTCAACTTCATCGACCGCCATGACCAGCCGCTGCAAGAGGATAGGGACAGACTCCCCCAAATCGCCTTTGGGAGACGCATAGGCAGCATGCCATCGTCGGGTGAATACATGTTTAACAAATCGTGGCGGTATTCCACACTACGGATCCACAAACGTCAATTTTGAAATTTCCAATGTTATCCCTACCGTCCGTCAAGATCGTTGGCGGTCATAACAGACAGACAGACAACTTTGTTCAAACTGACATTGATATAATGTACAGAACCATTCAATAGAATAGAGAGACAAATTATCATAGAATTCATACAGATATGCTATAAAGATAATATAAGAGTAAAACGTTATCCATATAAAAGATGCTTTCTACGATTAAGAATTAAAAAGCAGACTTTGGAACGTATAAAACACACATTGACATCGCGGAATATGAAACAAAGTTTGTCGATATTTAGCAATACATTCATTAAAATGAGTTATATATCGTCAGTGTATAATTATCAGTGCAACACAACATGGACCTCGTCATTGCAGTGAAAACATTTTTTTGTGTGGACAGGAACACCTTCATACGGACTGAGTTCCACTTGAATAGGAGCCACGCCAAACCTAAACTTGGCTAGTACTGTAACCCATGTCGGGAATCGAACCCGCGTGACGAGCGAACGCTTTAACCACTAAGCTACCCGACCGCCCCTCATGACAGCACAAGGAGATAACGTACGCAGAATGCACAGGAACTCGTTATTTCTCAGTTTCAGACATTTCCTGACTTACAAAGTCCCGGGACCGTATATGACACAAACTGACTTATAACGACTTCCTGGGCTCCCTTGCTTGATGCATGTCGTCATATCCCAGTTGCGTACGCGTGGATCGATGCTGATATATCATTCACTGGATTGTCTGGTCCAGACTCTATTATATACAGACCGCCGGCATAGAGTTGCAATATTGCTGAGAGCGGCGATAAACAACACACAAACAATGAATGTGGCGCAATTTTCTGTTTCAGTGTGTTGACATAAGTTTTTCAATGAAATAATGATATGCCACGACATAAATATGCCTAAAGTTGAGTTAGGAAATGAATGTTTTACAATGAGAAGGTTTTCAAAATGTATCCAATTCATGTAATACTTTAATCTCGAATAGTTCAACTGTTTTAGAATGACAAAATGGTAATTTTGTTGATTTACATTTCTTCATTATACATTATTTTACCCTGCATTATCTGATGATATCAGAATAGGTTTTCTTCTAATTAATTTCTGAATATTGAAATACTTCAATGACATATGGTGAGGTGGTGAGGTGAAATGGGGTTTAACGTCGCCGGCACACTGAGATACCATGCCGCAGTTTAACATGAATACCCCAATCAGAAATAGTATACTGACTCCAAGCCGACTCGTCCTTAGTACCGAGCGCCAGGCAGGGTAACAACAAGTATAATCTTTAACGTCTGTTCGCTTGACATGTTAGGGGATCGAATCCCGGACCTTCCGCTCTCCGGGCAGTCGTTCTCTCCACTGGACCACGGAGGCGGTTTCAATGCCATGTGATTAAATATGTGTTAAGTAGTATAAAAACTTATCCTCGAGTTACCCGAGGTTCGACACAACCGAAAATGGTGAATAACGAAGGAATACGCAGGGACAGAGCTGCAATCGAACGAAATCAGCAGACTATGCATACACTCGTTAGTCCAGCCAAAATATTATTACATGCGAGGGATCTGACAATCGGTATTAGGGGTGAGTTTGTGGGTTAAAAGTTAACGTCGCATCGCCATTTTTTCAGCCATATAGCGACGACACCGAATTGATATTTTCTTAAGTGAGTCATCAATGCACATGTACATTTAAAAACACATGTTATCAAACATACATAACCATATCCATAATACAGTTTAAATCATGGGCTATAGGCCACCAGTAACCAAAGCAGGACCACCTCGCTTTGGATCATGGGGACTTACAGTACCTCGGCTTCCTGCATGATACCCCAGCAGGATTTACATCATCACTTTAGCTGAGATCTTTAAGATTTACACTTTGGTAATGTGAATCCCTTGCGATTTCAAAGTCCACACAGTCAAGCAATATATGCTTCACGGTGAACCTGTCTTCCTAAGGGATATAATTAAGAGGATCGTCCTCATTAAGTCTTAAGCCGATATTCGTGGGTACACCGACTGTGGTCAATACGACTTCGTCGTAAAACGTCCTCGTCATGTCTTGACTGATAACCCCAGTATGTATGACCGATTGTTGGTTTTAATTTGTGAAGTTAATTGAGGGGCGGTCGGTTAGACTAGTGGTTAAAGCGTTCGCTCGTCACGCCGAAGACCCGGGTTCGATTACCGACATGGGTACAATGTGTGAAGGTTTGTCAAGAGGTGCTTCATCGGCTTTTGAGTTATGCCTGCAAGACTTGGTAACCAGTAGAAGACGATGTCACATTGGCCGGTAGAAAGATCATGGATACTTTCTAAAATGTCTAGGATTTTTGGATTTTTTTAGGATACACTTTATAGTGCCTAATGGCAAGACAACGAATCAGAGATGATGAAAATGTTACATTGTATTTGATGTAAAATATAGGTCAAAGCTGTTTATATAGCTTTGGCCTCAGCAGTGAAGATTGGGGTTCTTGAAGTGACAGTGCTAGATCAAATGACGGTGGCACTTGCAACTTTGCCACCATCCTTTGACCTGTTTTTCAAAATGGATCTGTGAGAATTTTATTTTGTTCGTAATTAGTTGTATGCTTGTTGATAAACCAAAGGATTTGTTTCGGATTTTTTTGTTGGGTTAGAATGAGGTCTACTCCTGGAGACAGAAGAGGTGCTATAATATTTAGATCTAATTTAGCTGCAGCGATGTGTGGTGGAAATCTTATTCCAAGTGGTGGAACCAGGTTTGACAGATTTCGAAACAGGTTTTCATATTGAGAATCGAAAACGACATTGTATGCTGGATTTAATTTATTTGAGTGTAACTTAGTGATGTATTGCAGTGAAAGTTTAATGCGGCGCAGTTCGAGTGAAGGTTCATCAGCTTCCACACACAAACTGTCAACGTGAGAGGTCCAAGCCTTCGGCCTTGGTGGTGTATTGTGTCTACTTTTTCTAAATTTCTAGCTTGGAGCGTATTAATGATCAGTACAAGCGAAGGAGGGTTGTCTGATCCCCACCCCACTCGGGACGTTTAACAAGTCGAGAGCCTTCAGGCACTTTGTCTTCAGATGTTTGATGTGTGGTAAGAATGTGAGATGACCGTCAAATACACACTTAAAAAACAGAAGCGCACACGTAGTACGAAGTTCATTGAACCTGACTACACAAAAAATCCGGTATATAAATTGGATATATGTTATTGGAAAATGTTGGTGGCCTGATATTCGACAAACGGCTCGTCAAAACGCAGCCCTTGTCGATTTGCAATGTCTTAAACGGCATTGTTTTCACACTTGTTCAAAAATGTCATGGAGGAAAACAGTAAAGCAAAATGCAGTTCCAAGTTATGGCATTCGTGTGGTAGTGACTATGAAAGGCAAGCATAAGCCAATAATTTGTCATTCATTTGTCAACATTTTTCAAGTTTGAAAATGCTGAGACTTAGCGCTGCCGATCGGAACATCACCACAGGACGTATCTGGTGGTACGTCTTCTGTTGCACTCCACTTCAAAGTCCACCACATCACCATTAGCCACCTTTGTGACCGATACACACAGAGAGTTAACGCCCCTGCACAGGATTGCTTCATTCGACTGTTCCACCTACGTCATCGC